GACTTAGGTTGCCAAGCCGTCAAGCCACATGAGGCTGTTAAGCCCAGACACGGCGATCCACCGCCACAGCTGGGATAATACCTACAGTAGGTAGGTACCTAGGCATGTAGCTGCCTATATCCTATATGTACATAGTACAGTAGTATGTCTAGGGTACCTTATGTAATCACCTTATTGTACTCCCTGGCGTGACGAAAATCGCGGGCAATTTCCACCCAAGTGATCCATTCCTCCTCACCCTTCTCCCCCTACTCGAATGAAGCTCTCACCACCGCTCCTCCCACTTCCACGCGACCCACGTAGAAACCCCTGGATTAGACTACTCTACTCGTCTGTCGACTCTCCTGCTCATTGACTGTGCTCGCATCTATTGCACAGTCACGCTACCATTACCCCTCGTTTCTTCCACACTACTTTATGCAACTAGAGTTCCCTGAGACCCTCCAGCACACCCAACAGCAAACCACCTCCCAATCTTCTCGCCACTCCGATCAACATGGCCCCCAGCACTATGATGCGAGCGGCTCGGCCCGCGGCCCTCACCAGCAGCCAGATCGCAGTATGTCGCCGCACTCGGCCAGCGAGACAGACTCGCTCGACTCCCTCGGCCACGGTGTCCACCCGGAATCCCTTGAAGAACGGCTGCGCCGACTGAGTGTCCGCGACCAGCTGCCCACGGGACGGGTTCCCCTTGCTGGCCACCGGATTACCGAGTACGAGAATGCGTTGACGCCTTCTGTTCCTAGACAAGCCCTGGGCTTCAAGGTCATTAAGCGCGCCGACAATGAGACAGCTCGTGTCAACCTGGATGATTTCCCAAATGGTATGCGATCTCTCGTGCGCTCTCGTAGTCGCCACTGTTCTAACTAGAGCGTCCAGAGATCCTGACACACATCCTCTCGCATCTGCATCCCGACTCGCACGCCTCTGTGGCCCTGGTATCCAAACGATTCTACGCGTTGATCGCCACACCTCATGCATGGCGCATGGCTTTCCAGCGCTTCTTCCCCGCTCAGGATGCTTTGGTTACTACTAACAAATCACACGGGGTTGCCTGGGGCGAGGAGGATGACGATACCGTCCGGTCCGAGGTGCGGGTCTTTACCCGCTTGACTCCGCATGCCTCTTGGCGCAGCGAATACCTTTTGAGGACGCGTCTTCTCCGCAGTCTTGCTAGAGGAAAGCCCGGAGGGGTTGGTGCGTCTTTGCGTTCCAGCCAGTCCGGCAAGAAGGCTACCGCAGTTTTGACCTACAACACCAAGGTACCTTCTGTCGTCACTCATGTCCACGCCACGTTTAAGCCCAATGGCAAGAAAAACCCGCGGGTTATTCATGGTGCTACCGACTTGGGTGTTGGTAGTGCAAGTGATCCCACGGTCGGCAGGGTTGAAAAATGGGGCTTGGACGACCCTTTCGCTTTTGCCCAGCTAGATGAGGTCATGCCACTGCTCATACCGTATGGCATGGGAGAAGGCCCTGCAGCCATGCCCAATGTCATGGATGTAAGCCAGCCTTACGGCCTCGTTGGCGGCGAAGGATTCCCAGGTGGTCGCGTATTCTTCAGGCCAACTGGAGAGTACAGAGGGAAGTATCTCGGCCAAGAACCTGACTTAGTTGAGGCCCATCCCGATATCCCTAAGATCCCTGAACTCTCTGAAGGAATTTGCTCCATATGGGTTGCTAAGTCGTCTTCTGTGCCCACTGTTACTCAGTCTATGGTCGGTATCATGACTGGATCATCTTTGGGAGTGGTGACCACATATGCTCTCGGTTATGACCCCTCGGGCCCTCGATACACTCCCGGTGAAATAAGTGCTCGCTGGGTGCTGAGTCCAGGCGTGCCTATTATTGCGCTCAAGGTTGATGATAGCTACAGTCAGAAGAGAAAAGCTCTGAACCGTGTCTGGGCGGTTGCTCTCAACGCCTTGGGCGAAGTCTACTACCTAACCCAACCTCCAAGTCCGCCTGTCAGCAAGACCAAAGCCGACGATAGTACCAAGCTCGCCTGGCATACTGGTCGTTCAACTTACTGGAATCTTGTAGAAGCCACTCGGCGACAAGCGCGTCCTGATGACTCAGGAAGAAACGCTATACGAGGTAGCTACTCTCCCAGGTCTCCTGCCAATGCTATGAGCCTCAACAGGGACCAAATGGTTGCCGAGGCGCGAGAGATTGAGAAATTCCTTCGCTACAAGCCATTACATTTCCGGAAGGTTTGTTACGGTTGGGACATGCGTCGGAGACTAGAAGTCGACTTCGCTGGTGATGACGAACTCGGCGTAGGAGAAAGCTTCTTCATTATTGATTGTGCATTGGATGATGATAAAAACTGGGCATTGAGGCGCTTCGCTCGGACGATCGTCAATCGACCCCAAACAAGTGCGACGCCTCCGCAAGTTTTGGGGTCCTCGCCAGAACCAGCACCTCGCCAATCTATATTTGGCGGTGATACCGCTCAGTCCACGTCACCAAATTCCTCAAGTTCTTCCCTGCTTAAGCAAGTTTTGTCATCGTCGGGTAAACAGTCGCCTTCGCCGATTGCCACGGCCGCAAATGCGTTAGACGATTGGGTAGAGACCATATTCTCCTCGAACGAGATTGGCAATGTCACCATCACCGCAAGTGCCGTTGATATGTCACTTATGGCCCTAGTTGCATCGTTCGAAGATCCTCTGAAGGACGCTTCTGGTCCATCAGCTAGTGGCCCTACGACACCATCTGGACAGGCACCTTCCGATATCCCTGGTCGAAGAGCAAGATTAATTGGTTTAGGTACAAATACTGGGAAAGTAGTACTATGGAACACTCGAGCCGGGCATACAGGTGACGGCATCCTCCCAGTCCGTGTTATTCAGACGGAATCGCCTAAGATTTCTTGCTTGGCTCTCTCAGCTCTCTACTTAGTCCATGGTGGAAGCGATGGACTCGTTCAGGCTTGGGATCCCTTGGCTTCCACTATGGACCCAGTTCGCACATTGAATTCTCGCTCTCCTGGTCGCATGCCTCGCCATCTCCTTGCTCTGAATCCTACCCTGGGTGATACGAGCTTTTCTGCTGTCGGTGCCATTTATTTGGACCCTGACCCGACTATCCTTCACGGGATAGTGGCTTTCGGTACATTCGTCCGATACTGGGCTTACAGCTCCTCACATCGGGCTACCGGTCGCAAACGAAAGTTACGACATTCTGACGTTCACGGTCGTCTCACTGGGCGACGTCATGGTGGGGGTGTCAAAGGCTATATTGCTGCCGAGGCTGAAGAGCTTCGCGACGAGCAGCGACACAAGGCACGGGAACAGGCCCGCTTAAGGTCTCGGTTTGGAGTAGGAATCAACAACTTGAGTGAAGAGGAAGCCCTTCAGTATGCGGAGATGATATCTCAGGAGTCATTTTTGTTGGACGAGCAGCGGCGAACAAGTACCAGCGACACCGGGTCAGCTGCAGACCTTGACACAGCCTCAACGACTGGAAGCATGGATACAATCACGCCCGACCCTAGTGTCGCCGATGCGAGTCCGCCAACTGGGAACACCAGCACTGCGGTTGAGGCTATTATGAGTGAAAGCGAATACGAACTTCAGATACAAACTGCTATACGGTTATCCCTTCTAGAGGGTGTTAATGATCTTGGTCGCTCTCCAAAGGGGCATAGTTCAAGCGAGTTTGACGGCCCTGTCACTTTCAAAGAGAAAAACGGCAAGCGATCCTCGTCTAGCTCTCTCTCTAGATCTCCGTCTTCGAGTCGTACGCCTATGGTCAAACAGGCCGGCTCATCGTCGACGGCGATGATGAATACCCCTTCAGTGGCTGACGACGACCTGGAATTGGCGTTGCGGCTAAGTCTCGCTGAGGAGGAGAGCAGAAAAGCAATAGTTCGTTTGGAAACTAGTGAGGATGAATTTCCTCCGCTTAATGGAGATGGCATGGATAAGGGTAAAGGGAGGGCGGTGTAAATGTTGCTGTGAGGAGAGGGAGAGGGTTATGCACATTGATTTCGCTTCTTGCACTGTTCCATTCCAGCCGAGAGGCTTAATGTTTTATACTCACTGCTTGGTGGATTGATTTGAGATTTAGCTTTAATAGTGCATGGAAAACACGACTGCTTTGCATAACAAGACTCAATTAGCATTGAAGTTCCTAATAACCACTAATCAAACAGCGTCCCTACCAGCACTTGGGTCCGAGTCAACTACCAGCCCCCGGGAACCCCAACCTTAAGAGTCAAGCTCAACAGCATATTAACGGCTCGCTCACCACCCCTCAAACCCTTTCTACCTAATTGAATTACACAAACTATGCATAACCAACTTACTTGTTACCCAATTCCGTCCCCGTAATCCACAGCCCTGTTTAACATTCTACCACCACAAAACCCTCCCAGTAATAACAAAATACAAATTAGCACACCTCGCCCCCACGCAACGAACCACGGTTCTACACCGGGGCATCTGCGTCATCGATCTGGTGGTCTAGTGATACAACGGACGAGACAATGTATGACAAGATCCAGGCACCCAATCACTATGTTCGCTTTAGATATTCTCTTCCAAACATCATCCAATTAATACTCATTTAGCGCGTTACATCAATTTACCAAAAACAAAGTTCATGTTCCCCCAACGTCCTATAAGCTACAGCCAAAGGCTACACAACAGCCAAGGCCACACATAAGCAGAGGCTACAGCTCAGGACACCCTCCCCCCCCAAACAAACAAAAAAAAGGATTACAGCCAAGGGGGCTATAGCCAAGGGCCACAACTATAAAACCCCTTTATAATCTTTAGCTTTATTTATATATATGCGGCTATACCTAGCTATATAAACAGGCTATATAACTTACACAAGCTGCCTCTAAGTAGGCGTCTAGCTATAGCTGGCGAGGTAAAGGGGGGTGTTTTAGGTGGCCTCTAAAGAAGGGGGGAATGGGTGGACCCTAAAAACAAAGGCTTCCCTGTCCCTGAATCCAAAGGGCCTCTAATCTTCGGTGGTGGTCACACAACGGTCTGGTGGTCTAGTGGTATGATTCTCGCTTAGGGTACACCCTATGCTCAATATGCGAGAGGTCCCGGGTTCAATCCCCGGCCAGACCCTTTTTTATATTAATTTTACTGTTGTTTTTGTTTTCTATGCCTATTTCGTTTTCTTTCTTTTCTACTTTGTTCTTGTTTAACTAATATTCCTTATTTAGTATTTTTATCCCTTTTGTTATTGTGTGGTTTGGCTAGGACTAACTACTTACTTAACAACTATATCCACTGACATAAACAACAATCGTCCTCTACCATTAATTTAGGGGGAGGGGGCGGACAGGCGGTGACCAAATAGCATGCATGATATTGACTCGTATATAAGCTAGCCGTAGCTTGGAAAGACATTATTTGTCATTTAAATGTGCTTTCGTAGGTAACGATACGGGGTTTTCCAGTAAGCTCTCGTGGTCGCTCGCACCTAAATGAGTGCGCGAGGCAGTCGATCGATCCTCTGCTCCTCACGATGACTATTCGCGACTGGGCATTCAATTCGACATTTGACCGGGACGTCCAACTTAGCCTCATGGAATAAAGTTGGAGTCACTCGGCGCAGGCTCCTCCTCGCTAAAACTCTTGTTGGGCCCGCCATATATAGATGGATGTGTATTTTATGCCCGGGATACTAAGATTCTCAAGACCTTGGTTGGTTGCTTGCACCAGCCAAGATGTCCGTCTATCTACCCAACTGTCTAGAGCTAGCCGGCGCTTTCGCGCGTAGATCTGGCACACCGTACGTTCCATGTTCACTGGTCACCTCCTGATGAAGCCGTCACATGCCGGTTGCAACATGATGTTGTTCGTTACCCCATCATCACATTTGTCCATTGAACGTATCCAGCTAGGTATACCATATCAGTAAGTAAGCTTGCGGCCTTGAGGATGTTCGCCGTCCGAGTCGTCAGGATCTCGTTTGAGGAGTCAATCATCGTGGTAGGCGAAGACTGTTGTCCTCGCGCGAAGGGGTTCTAGTCTGAATCACCTTCGTAGGCTAGCCCTGGGTACATGTACACATGTGTGCTTTGTCACGGAAGTGGTATCGTAACACGTGTCTTCGCGTCATATAGACAACCAACTCTCTCCCGTAACGGCCTCGGGCGTTAATGCCCCAAGCTTATGAACAAACAAACGCTCGCTCGCTCGCTCGCTGCCGCCGGTATAACGCAACTGGTCGTAGCCCCAAGTATCATGTCTTCTAGTAGGGTAGGTAGGTAGGTAGGCAGGCGAATCAGCAGATCACGAGTTACCTGGGTTAAGTATATGTCAACTCCTATCACGAGGACCGTGTGGATTCGACAGATCTCTTCAATTTTTTGCTTCGGCTTCAGGATGTCTTGTCCTACGCGGCGATGGTTGACTTCGAATATATGTTAGTCGAATCATCGAGGCGAGTACCGTGGTGTTATGCTAGACAGACGTAACTATCAGTCAACAGCTTAAGAGCTTAAGCAGGGAGGCTGAACGACAACAGCCATGACTAACGCCAAGGCAACTGTTAATGGTACACACAGTCAACTAATCCTGCCTAGCAAGAACAGTTAGGCCGTAGGATAGGAGCTGAATGTCACAGTTCGGGGCGCTCAGCCACTCGAAAGTCTCATGCTGGATGTTGGTACGTGGAGGTATAGATAGGCACACGGTTATACAGACTGATCTTATGAAGTATTTGATTTTCAAACCCGCAGAGAGTCCGTTACTCCTTCGACACGCGAAAGAATTGACAACATGGCGCCAGTCACCAAGCGTAAGTGAGCCAACGAAGCAAATAAAGCCAAGCAAGTAGTATCAAGAAGAAAACAGAGAAAGCTGAATGCTAATAAAAAAATTTTTTCTCTTTATTCAGATTTCTATAGAGCTTCATGCTTTTCGGATCTAGCTACAGAGAATCAAATTTGCAACCGCTAGCGACTCGGGTCTGTTGCCTGTGGTGTGGTGCATTGCCATAGCGCCTGCTACTAACGTTCCTCGTTACCACATAATTGTTAATTTGATGTCCCAACCCAGCTTCTCTCCTGATAATCAACACGTGAACACGCATTCAACGTCGAACCATGAGCACCATGATATTCTGATAGTTGTTGACATGTCATCCCCAAAGCTCCCCCATAGGCCGTATTCCACCCACTAATACCGTCAACTTAGTGATCCTGTGTTGTTCCGAGTGAGGAAAGCTCGCTCTGTACCGAGCGTCGCCCCCGCGAACGCCCTTTACTTAATTATCGTTTGGCCCATCCGATTCAATCCAAGCAGGACAGAAAAGGTCATGAAGACAGGAGTTAAAACAGTGAGATAACCGAGCAGCCGTGAACTCCGTCGCTGGCCTAGATATCTGCGTAGGCATCCCAAGGTATATATGCGCGAATGAATAAAATGTAGTTGAAAAAGACAAGGATAAAAAGGAGATGGGGTGCGTCTAGCAGGTAGAATTAAAGGGTGTAAGGCATATGGATCTGAAGACTCTTGTGTGTTTCGAGTCTCGCCTCAAGAAAGTGACTTAGAAAGGTTCGGTGTTGTATGCAGTGTCACCATTATTCCTCCCAGCTATAGCGTCGATGTGCCATTTGTGGGACGTGTACAATGTCGAAGCCATCTATTCTTCCAGCAGCTGCCGTATCATCCCGAGTCGCCGCTACCCTCGCCTCTTCTTCGAGTGTATAATTACTTCCCAATGTGTCAGCCGTAGAATGCCGCCTCGAAGGATTTTCGGACCGAATCGTAGGCATTGTAGGTAAGACATGATCATGGCCTTGGGCGCCCAGTGGTCTTTGCATCATCAGCTGGTGTGGGAATCGAATATTATCAGGTAAGGGTCCGAGACAAACGACGTGTGTAGAATCAATTGGCGTCCTCTGGATCGGTGGCTGTACTGGTATGGAATTTGCTGGCTGGGAACTGATGGACGCGACTGACGACGCGGAGCGTACGAGTCCAGTCGAGTCATTGACTGTGATTGGTGACGGTGGCGTACAAACCATAGTAGGATTCGAGATAGTAGATCTGGAAAGTGTACGAGCTGGGAAGAGGCCAGCTATCGGCGAAGGATAATCTCCGTAATAAGTTGAGCCATCACTATGAGGGGTTATTGGAGAAGGCATTCTGTTCAGATCGTACTCCTGAGTTGGGCTTATTGTGGGTGAGGGGCTATCACGGTAGTGAGTATTGATTGGTGGCGGCACATGCCCAGTCCTGCTATTGGCGTGTATGTCTTCTTGTTCCGTAAGTTGAAGTGGCTGAGCCCACTGCTGTGGCCGTTTGTACGAGTCCTGGCCGAGGGTATCCTCCCCAGCAGGAACTGCGAAATAGGCGCTCGTTGTTGTGTCAGTTGCGTCGAGTTCAACAGGCAACGGGGCTGGCATTTCGTAGCGCTCGTGGCTCCAGTCCGCGCCGACTTCATGAGCTTCAACAGGCTCCTCCCTTTTACCTGGCTTGGCCGGGCAGTTCTTCGCTCGTGTCTTCATTCGGAATAACGTCATTGCTACTGGACTTATAGGGGAGTCTGGCTCCGTCGTAGAGTATTTCTCCTTATATTCGTACGTCTCCTGATGGTCTTCGTCATTCTTGAACGACCTCCTCTTTCGTCGCACGAGTACCGCCGTCGTAACGAGCGCTATGGCTCCTAAACACGCGCCTACTACAAGGCCTGCTATTTGGTTCTGATTTATGTTGTGAGATTCGTCCTTTTGAACAGGAGGTCCGGGATAGGGACTGTTAGGCGAGGCTGCAATGGTTTGAATGGACTTGTCTCTCAATGGATTATCAGGGAATCGAGCCTTATGTATAGAGAATGTACTGGTCTCGTAGTTAGTAATGATATAAGCTTCTTGCAAGAATGAACGCCCTATGATCAGTTGGTTCCCATTCTCAGCTCTCTTCAGCGGAAAGTATGGAACTGCTGGTGCACCGTATTCTACCAAGTTTTTGAATGGATACTGGAGGCTCTGAATAAACGCATTTGCAGAGACAGTGATATTGACGACGCCCGACATATTTGTTGGGGAACCGAAATTGTTCCTATTGTCTAGGCTGGACAATGTGAACGTGAATGACAGGTCTGGCGCTGATCGATAACGTGCTAAGTTGTCGTTATTCGGGAATATGTACAATCCGAGAGTTTCGTTCCACGTTAGGTTGAGAGCATCAGCAAAACGGTCGCATACCGTCGGTGGGAGCCACAGATAAGGTGTCGAACTATCAATCAGGGCCGTCATTGACTCATTGAAAGCCGACAAAGCAATCGCCGGCGTGGACCACTCGGTAGGTGCCTGTCCGACATCTGACACTGATGTGGTGATTGACCGCACTAGAACCTGAGGCTGTCTCGTAGTGGCGTTCAGACTGAATTGAATATCGTGGGGTTCGAAGCGATTGGCATCGTAACCACCCAACGTCAGAGACATCGGGACACCTCTTGCACCAGCTATTATCTGTTAGCATCTACTGGCTGATGAGGTGTTTACTTAGATGTTTACCATAGTAGGCCCCAGGCGTGTAACCATAACTGTGACTCGGTACTATACCACTCTGCTGTACCAGTGATGCAATTGGGCTTTTCGCGACGACGCCACTAAAGTTCCCGTCCGTCATTCCCAAACCAAAGAACCCCGTGTAAGCGGCTGTGTCGTTGATGCCGGCAACAATCAACTTGTTCAAGGAAGTCTGCCATCGTCGAACACTATCATATGCCACAACTGTTTCCATTGCGTAGTCTCCATTGGCTTGAATGCCGATCGATTTCAGTCCGAGCTGCCACGCTCCCATGGGTGACCAGCTTGTTGAGGCGCTTCTATTGAACACACCGCCACGGGCGTCGTTACAGAGAGGACCTAGGCACGATAATTAGCAGCCTTAGAATAATGGGCTTTCCGAGCAGAAGCCTCAATGCCATGCATGGTAAGGGCTCTGGTGTTTTTTTCTTTCTTTTTTTGCCCTTCCTTTGGTGGCATATCGAAAAACTTACTTCCACATCCGGTGTTTTCTACAAGCCATAACTCAGAAATACTAGTGCTCACAACAACATCGAGTTCCTGGGCGGGCTCGCCCACAAAAAGGGTCGTTGACGACCA